CTCTTAAATGTGCTGTTTTGTGAACGGGGTTTGGTGCGGGCGGCTCGGGGAACACATCCAGCTGTTGCACTTGCGCATCGTTACCTTTAAGATGTTCGGGGATAAAAACTCGTTTCAGCCGAACTCGACACCATCTTAGCGGCGGGGACAGTTTGCTGCGTCCGGCCCTCACGCTCCGGGTGACCGGGGAGTGTTCCCACCGAGGCACCGGTGAGCTGCTCCGCGGAAGCCGAGTTGGGAGGAAATAACGTCCGGGATGGTTCAGTAAATGTCGGGTTTCATTATCTGTCGGCCTACCGAGCAGAGGCGGCGGCGGCGGGGGCGAGAGGGACGCGACGAGCGGGGAGGAGGAGACGGGTCGAGCCGGAGAGGAGGGAGCCATCAGCCCATACTTTCCCTTTAAAGCGCAGAGGGACAGAGGGGGTGAAGAAGGGATAAAAAAAGAAAAGGACGAGGAGGGAGGGCGAGGGCCCGAAAAAAAGAGAAAGATGTCATCCTGTCGATTCAAACACCGAGGCGGAGCCACGGACCGCGGCCGACCAGCAGCGCTGTAGCTCGGGGACGAGCTGTACGCAACGCCGAGGCCTGGACCGCGACAGCCGAGGCCTTTTCGGAGCTTTGGCCAAATAAAGGAACGAGCAGCTGGTTTCCTCCATCTTCTTTATTCAGCAGCTCATGTGCTGCATGTCATCAGTTACTTCAACCATTAAAGCATGAGGCCAACATCTGCACAGAAGCCTCCAGTCATTTAGACAATAAGTCATCAGTGGTAATTAGCTGGAGCTAAGGCTCATTAAGCGGAGACAGGCCGCGGCTCCTGTTCTCTCCCCCGTGGACGGAGCTTCTCCTCCCGCCCCCTGTGAGCTCCCTGCCCGGGGAGCTGCTCTCCTGCAGGATGGACACGTCCTGGAGCAACTTCCTCTTTCAGGTGAGTGCATCCATCATGGCTCCATCAGGGGGGGGGGGGGGGCAGGTGATGGGGGTCACAAAGGGGTCATGGGGGAGATGACCTTTGGTTCACTTTCCTCCAGGTGACGTCACATGTGACCCCCCCCACCTGTTCTCTGATATAGAATAAAAGATTTTTAATTAAATCTTCAGAAATAACATTTCAACATGTCATCGAGTCCTGAACAACCAGAGGCTGATGAAACACGATGTTCAAGGATAATTATTTAAGTATTATTATGATTGAATATTAATCAAGTTGTGTTGTTTAAAGAGCAGAGTCGTAATGTTCCAAGAACATGGTCACATCAGTATTAAATATCATATAATTACAATAAAGTCTTCATTTAAATATTAAAGAACAAAGAATGGAGAATTACAAACCTGAGTTTTATTTTAGTTCTAATTCTCAAACACAACGATTGTGATCGATATTGATTCTTAAGACGTTGATATCAAACTGATGTCAGCTCATTAGAGACGCCCAGTAAACCTTCAGGTCATAAACCAGATCACAACCATGAATCTAGATATGAGCGGACGATGAATAGAGTAAAAACCTCTCCACCTTCCAGAGTAAATGAAAACACACCTCAGCTCTTCCACAGTTTATCACTGGACATGATGAGAAGCTCTTCAGAAAAAAACTCAATAAGCAGAATGTGATGAACTGTGTGTTGTTGTGTAGACGCCATCGACTCAGAGCCAACCTGAGACGCCTCTTCAGTCGGAGCTGCTGCCCGAGCTGACGGGCTCGGCTCAGAGTCCCGCTGAACACATCGTGACGCCGCCGTCCACCGTGGACACCGCCGCCCTGAGCGAGGAGCCGCTACCTGGTGAGAGGCCGAGGGGGGGGGNGGTGATGCTGACTTGTTTACAGCTCAGTGCTGTTTAGGAAGAGATCAATACACTTCTCACAGTTTGTTCAGTCAGACTGATGTGGAGGTCTTTTGGAAACATGAGGAGAGAGACGAGTTGGGAGCAACCACGGTCCCAACTAGTTTATTTTCATTATTTATCAAACTGACAGTTTTGTAATATTTTTCTCAATCACTTGATTAATTGTTCAGTCGATGAAACAAACAAACATTTCACTGGGTTAAATCGTCTTCGTGTCTTATATTGTTCAAAATAAAACTCAGACAATCCCAAAATATAAATATTACAGTGATTCATATCAGAGAAAAGACAAATGTTCCTCAAGACGCAGAAATGAGGACTGATTATATTTCTTCATGTCAGTCAACTCATCACCGACTGAACCGTAGAAGATGGGACTGAACACGGGACACATCTTAACCCCACTGAAAGAAAGAGTTAAAAAATACACATGGATTTACTAACATGCGGTTTTTGGCAGATAATAGATAATAATAATAATAATAATATGAAATGAACAAAAACACGGTTTATAATTTTTCAAATCAAGAGTGAAACAGGAAAATCCTTTAAAACCATAAATGAGTGTTTTTATTTTAGATCTCCAATACTGGTCGATAACGTCAGGCTGCTGTTATTGATCAGGCTTTTAGTTTGAAGGTGTAAAATAAGTTTGAGTGGACTCATGATTCCAGTATCGACCCGTGTGTGATGTTCTGACGCTCTGCTGTGTCTGTCAGTCAAACCGCTCGTCAAGCCGAGCCGCCCGGCGCACATCTGCGCCACCTGCAACAAGGAGTTCAAGAACAGCTACAACCTGCGGCGCCACCAGTCGGTGCACACGGGCATCAGGATGAAGGACCGCCCCGCCCGTGAGAAGGAGGACGGGGGGAAGGGGGGAGGGAGGGTGGAGAAGCAGACGGTTCCGCTCTCCCTCCTTCAGCTCACCCTGCCCCTGCAGCCGCCTCCTCCCCCCGCCGCAGCCACCGGTGCGGACACCATCCCCCAGCCCGGTCTTCACGCCAACCAGGAGAGCCAGCCTGTCTCTGTGTCCATCGCCCCAGCAACCGTAACCATGGCAGCACCGCCACAACCCATCCAGGCAGCTGTTGTCGTTGTCGGGTCCATGGAGCAGGTGGGTTCGCTGGGGAAAGATCCCGTCTGAGTCCAACACGTCTGCAGGGCAGCGACTGGACAATTCATCTATTTATTAATTCACTATTCAATTTCCTGCCCTCGTTTTGGCCCCGCCCCTCCTGTCGTTAACATACTGTCACGTTCCTGCTCTGAGTTCACTTGTTGTTAATGTTCTGGTTCTCCCCAATGATCCGTTTTAGATCATCATCATCTGAGTGATTCTCTCACACACACACACACACACACACACACACACACACACACACACACACACTCTCCTGGTGTGTGTTGTTTTCTTGGACTTGTTGCCGCCACCACGTCTGCCCTCCTCCTCCTTCCCTTAAAATTTGACGACAGACTTGTTTTGGTGACATCATGCTCAGTACCGATCCCTCTTCTTCATCAGGTTTAATTCAGATGATTTGTTAAAGTTTTTTATCTAAAAACAGAAAAATCTTATTGCAAACAGCTTCAAATATGTTGAACAGGGTTTCTGTGGAGTCTTAAAACGTCTAATAATCAATCATTTGAACTTTAGGACATACAAAGGTTCTCACATTAGATACTCACTCTAAAATACGTTTATTAAATATTCCTAAAATCTGATCATTATGTTCTTCAAATTAAGGTTGAAACCTGCAGAAACCCTGGTCAGACACATTTGTTATCATGCAGTTTAGTTAAACTAGTTTTACTCATACTTCGATCTGTCTTCTCTCAATCATCTCATGAAGCAGCCGTGTCGTGTCTCTGCGTCTCATCCACAGAATCCTAATCCCAATCCCAGCACCAACCAGGTGAGGAAGAACCACGCGTGCGAGGCCTGTGGAAAGGCCTTCAGAGACGTCTACCACCTGAACCGTCACCGCCTGTCGCACTCTGACGAGAAACCCTACTCCTGCCCCATCTGCCAGCAGCGCTTCAAGAGGAAAGACCGCATGAGTTATCACGTGCGCTCGCATCAAGGTGGCGTGGAGAAACCTTACATCTGTCCACACTGCGCCAAGGCCTTCTCCAGGTAAAACTGTGTTTCACACCTGTGCTTCCCAAAGTGAAGGATGTGGTGATAAAGTTTTAAAGGGTTATAAGTTTAATTTTGAAGACTTAATTGTTACAAAAGATAAACAATACTTTTAAAACTAGAGATCAGCAGCGTTCACACAAGGCTGGAAAACTGTCAGACGTAACCATGGTGATGAGTGTTGAAGCAAAGATGCTCTGATGATTGACTTCCAATAAAAATCAATTTAAAACAAACCCGTCACGACTGAATGTGTCAGATTCTCAGGATTTGGAACGAGAAGCAGATTCACAGGCTGTTAAATGAACATGAATTACAACAGGTGGTAAAACTGTGACTGGACATGAAGCCGTGTTGTTAATGACTCTTTGTGTTGTTGTTGTGTGTTTTCAGACCGGACCACCTCAACAGTCACGTTCGACAGGTTCACTCCACAGAGAGACCCTTCAAGTGCACGGTAACATTGTCACCACTGTTCAGTGTGTGTGTGTGAGTGTGTGTGTGTGTGTGTGTGTGCGTGTGCATAACCATGCAGGTGTCTCTTTGTTTCCCACAGACGTGCACATCAGCGTTTGCTACGCGGGATCGTCTCCGGGCTCATCTGATCCGTCACGAGGAGAAGGTGCCGTGTCACATCTGTGGGAAGCTGCTGTCGGCCGCCTACATCACCGACCACATGAGGGTCCACAACCAGTCGCAGCATCACGCCTGTCACCTGTGCAACCGCAGTGAGTCTCCGTTCTCACCGTCCGGCCCGGATCACAGTTTATTTAACCACTGTTGAGTCATGTGACCGAGCTGGAAGGCATGACGAGTTGCTGGTGGATTTTCAAAATAAATCTTTAAATCGACCCCAAAATGAGAAAAATCATAAATTCACAGAAAAATGTACGATAAAGATCTGGGATCTAAAAAAGTGTGTGTGTGTGTGTGTGTGTGTGTGTGTGTTTTCCAGGCTTCACCACCCTCACCTACCTGCGTGTCCACGCTCAGAAGCACCACGGTCAGGAGTGGAAGGAGAGCGGCGGGGCGCGGGGGGGGTTCGGTGGGACGGGGGCCGGCGGGGTGCTGCTCTGCCAGCTGTGCGGCGTGCAGTGCAAGACCACCACGCAACTCCAGGGTCACATGGGCACTCACGCCAACCAGGGCGACCACGGCACTGACCCGACCAGCTCGGGCCCCGTTGGCACCACCAGTGTGGCGGTCACTGTGACCAGTGCTGCGAGCACAGTGGGACTGCTGGTAACTGACTGCTCCAGTATCGCCCCTCAGCCTCACAGCTAGCACGCTGCGAGGGCTGGGGGGGTGGGGGGGGAGCTGGGGGTGGGACGGGCAGGATGGATGGAGGCAGGGAAATGAGGACACATAGAGGAGAGAACTGGAACTGCAGCCACCGAACCAGGTGAGAAACATTCAACGACAAACTTTTATTTAACGTCTACTTTGAGTTTTGACTTTGAACAATGTCCCATCTGCTAACATGGAGGACGCAGGGTTTCTGAGCTATACTGCAGTCAGCCACCAGGGGGATGTAGTTATTTAGCTTAGTTCTATTTTCTGTGTCACTCACACAGAAAATAGAACTTTTTATTTCCTCATTGCAGATTGTTCGTCCACTGACCAACGGGGGACGACTCACGCCGGTTTCATCGAGACGCGACAGCTCAGTCGTGTTCCATCGTCCTGCCTCCAACACGTGCTACTGAACTGCAGACATCAGATCCTGAACCCAGACGAGAACAGATCGTGGATCAGAGGACAAAACGAGGAGAAATGTGTATTTTTGTTCACTTTGCTTCGCTGTTTACTATTTCTATTCGTCATCATGTCATCGTTTTGGTTTTTACCTGCGCAGCCCGTCATGCTTTTGTAAAGTTGTTTGCTGTTTTTACATTTTTTATATTCCATGAAATCAGTGTTTGGTTGTGATGAGGGAATCGACCTTAACACCTCCACAACTTGACTTCTCCTCTAATTTATTACTAAAAACGTCTCCAGTTCGCCAGAGCAGCGAGTTTCAGGAGCGACGTCGTGCACAAACACTTTTCTAGAGCCGATGAAGGCGAACTCCTCGACGTTTGTGAATAATCCTCATGAACACTGAATGTGTGTAACCTCTGCTTCATATGATCTTTGTTCCTATGCTGATTTGTAATTCTTGAACAGGTTAAGTAACATGTTATTTGTAGCTACCTTGGTGACACGTTTTCCGTGGCCGTGCATATTGATTGTATTTGATGCATAGTGCATAGCGCCTCCTTACTCCTGTAGTCAAAGGCAGTAAAATGCATGTGTGGATTTACAATGAAATGATCTTCATGGGTGTCTGAGTGTTTGTGCACTTTATCCATGTCAGTGGAAAGTAACCAGAGACGTGAAGCAGAACTTTACTTTGAAGTATTTTAAACGTTCACTCTGTTACATTCACAGTAACTGAGCAACAGCTTCAGTATCTAGTTACTTTTCAGATTAAAAGATTTACATTGAAAACCTGAGATTTCTCTCCGTCCTGGAGGAGAAGGATCCGTCCTCCATCGCTCTTCTTTGTCTCTTACACTTCTTCATGATAACAGTGCTTTTGTTCTTTGTGGATAAATTAGAAGTGAGCAGCCACCACACTGATAATGAATTCAAAGTAATAAGAAACAACCACCTCTACATGTCGTCTCTCTACAGCTGAAGTGATTGGCTCATTAACTGATGACAGAACTGACTTTTTGATTAATCCTGATAAATTCACAGGTTCCTGCTTTCCGACTTAAAACCAGATCTCAAACTGGTCCAGCTCCGCATCAGGAGTCCAGCTCAGAACGATGGTAACCCTTTATATCAAGTTGATCCTATATTAGTCCCACGATGGGGGAAACTGTAGAGTTGCAAGAGGACCTTCAAACAATAGAGGTGGATAAAAGTAATAAGTTAGGATTTAAATTAAAGAATATAAACAGTACAACCTGAATACCACCACTATTGGTGACCATTGGTTTCTTATCGACATGTATGTGAATCCTCATGAAACACGTGAATGTCATTTAGAGTTCCAGCTGATTGTTGCTCATGAGTGACTGAATCCTCTCTGTTCTCTGAACATCTTCATGTTCCTCTCCCTGAGCTTCAGACTTGGATTCATTGAAATGCTCGTGTGCAGCTCCAGCCTGAAGCTTCTCAGAGTAACTGAGGGAAAACTAATCAGAGGGGGGACCTGGGGCTGTGGGGCCCCTGGGGGCCCGGGTATAATCCTGCCCTGCTGAAAACTCTCGGGGTGGTAAAATGAAGTCGGGGCCCGGGGCCCCTCTGTCTCTCTGGGCTGGAGCAGCGGAGCTCGTGGCTCCTGGGGGCCGCAGCAGCAGCAGCTAGCGACAGTTAGCTTTGTTTACAGCGGAGCCTCGACCCTCCCCCACCCGGCTCAGCAGCTCCTCCTCCACCGGCTAACCCGCTAGCTGCAGCCGCCTGCTGCTGGAAGAGCCGCCGCAAATCCGCCTCCTCTGGATTAACGTCGAATTTAAACGGACCCGGTGGACGACCCGTCCATTCCACCTCCGGTCACCGTCTTTGTGTGACGCTGCTGCGGCGGGTTAGCGACGCGATGGCCAGCTAGCTGCTAGCTAACGATCCGGTTAGCTCCAGGAGCCGGGGGCAGGAGCTCCGGCGACGGGCGTCTCATTTCGGGCTGCTTCCCTTCGGAACCGTCGCTGGTGGATCTGCGTGGGTTTGTAAGTGTTTGACACGAACGTGTGCTCGGGGGTTCGGCGTGGAGGATGTGGGTCACCGTGAACAGCGCCTGTGTGTATGTGGGTCAGCGGTAACCCGTTAGCTGGAACAGCTGGTTAGCAGCGAGCTAACCCGAGTTTCCTGAATAAGAACAATCTCAACATTTAGCCCCCGTGACGTCTTCTCCTCGGGGCTCTGGTTCTCTGCAGCCGGGCTGTCCGAGCTCTCCGGCGGGTTTAGTGTCTGCTTCTCTCGGTATTGTGGAGCTGACGGTCGTTAGCCGCTGTTCGAGTTAACGAGCAGCTCCGCTAACTAACCAGGTGAGCTGAGGTAACTCAGCCCGGGTCACAGTGGACGGATCTGGTGGGTGGTCGGGGTCTTTTAACGTGTTTGTCCCGGACAGTGGAGCCCCGGTCCGGCTGCAGCCGCCGGTCCCACTCGTGTCCGTCTCGGCACCGGGCTCAGTTGTGAACTTCCCCGGTGTTAACTCGTCGTGTCCTCTCACAGGATGGTACCGGGTCATGCTGACTGAAGGGCCGCGTTTCCTCCGAGCGTAGCCGCGCAGCAGCAGCTTGGTGCCGCCCAGACGAAGTGGACTGTTTCGGTGGGAGCGGAGGATGGCGTTTCACGGTGCGGGTCGGCAGACCGTGTGCGGGGACCTGTTTCCGGGCTCTGAGCTGGGCCACAAGTATTTCTGTGTGAACTCCTCCTGCGGGGCCCCATCCACGGGCCTCAGCGCCACGCCGTGCCTGACCGGACCCACCGCCCCGGCCGGGACCCCTCGTCACCCCACTGCTCTCGGAGGAAGCGCCGGCGGCGGAGCGGCGGTGCCTCAGCCCTACAGCAACCCGGCCAGCGAGGTGCCCAGCCCCGCAGAGATGGAGCCCGACCGCCCCATCGGTTATGGCGCATTTGGTGTCGTGTGGTAAGAAAACATGCGTGAGGGCCATGACATGTCCTCAACACACACACACACACACGGTGAACAAGGTGCTCTGTGTTTTATTAAAACTATATTATTGTTCCTCGGTGAAATAAATCATCGGTAAAACTTTCCAGAAGTAGACGTCAGAGCTCAAACCTCCATCAAGTCTCCACTTAAACCAAACGACTCTTAAATATCAGTAAAGGATTCCATCAGATCCATGAGTTATTCTCTGCTCACTGTAGAAACTGATCAAACTGGTTCTCCCCATGTTCAGATCCATGTTTGGATTCAATGTGAAGAGTTCTTCTTCGTGTTCCTTCAGTTTACAGGAAACCTTTGTGTAATCCTGCCAACAGACAAACTAACAGGGTGGAAGCATAAAGTAGTTGATGAGGTAACAATCTGCACGGTCACCACAGGAGTTCATTCATTCAACTCTTTATACGATCCATCCATGATGTTACTGTCACCAAACACAAATCATCTCATAAAGCTGAACAAGGTGCGACGTCCTCTGTTCTTAACCCTCGAGAGTAAAACTACAGAAAAGAAACACATGTGAAGGATTCTCCTCCCAGGACGGACACAATCCACCATGTTTAGTCTCAAGACTGTGACCACCGATCATCTTTATGATCCTTCACTGCTAACAGCAGAAAACAGTGAAAACATCCAGAAGTTTAATAAAGAATCCAAAAACATCCAGTGGAGCAAAGTGTTAAATCATCACAAGACGCTGGAACAAATTCATGTTTTACAAATACTTGAAATGATTCATATGAACCAGCTGCAGAGTGAAGTTCTGTCAGATGTTCTACAGGAGCTCGTCTTCAGAAACTTTACTTGACACGAACGTGCGACTAATCTCCACCTGTGATTCTTGACGTCCTGCAGGTCGGTGACCGATCCCCGGGACGGTCGGAAAGTGGCTCTGAAGAAGATGCCCAACGTCTTCCAGAACCTGGTGTCCTGTAAGAGGGTCTTCAGAGAGCTGCGGATGTTGTGCTTCTTCAAACACGACAACGTAAGAACAGGGCGAAGGGGACACGTGGCGTTTTTTGATGAGATGATTTTGGAAAAAATGACCCCATGTTTTTTTGTGTTTGTCCTTTTCTGTTTTCAAACAGGTTCTGTCGGCTCTGGATATTCTGCAGCCTCCGCAGATCGACTGCTTCGAGGAAATGTATCCTTGTCCTAATCACACATCCAATCAGAAGTCAGGATGCCCTTTGATTAATGTTAGCACATGAACAGACGCGTATCGACGGCGTATCTCCTCACTCATTACAAACATTTACGTCCTCGCACCGTCTGTCCCAGTTTCTCTTCATCGGTCGTCTCTTATGTCCTCATTTTATTCACTTAATTTAGCTTCTCGTCTCTAAATGCAGCTCCTCTCTGCAGACGTCAGCTCGACCACTGGTGAATATTTCATGTGAATAGTTGACGGTAAACCTGTTTCTATGATTCTTGTGGTTAAGAAACCGCGTCCTCTCTCCTGAGTCAGACCGAGCCTCATGTTCGGAGATGCGTCGTGCTCGTGTGGGTGGAGGTCAGCCTGTGTGTCATCTTTTTATGTTCCTTGACTGTTCCCCCCCCGCAGCTACGTGATAACAGAGCTGATGCAGAGCGACCTTCACAAAGTGATCGTGTCTCCTCAGCCTCTCACCACCGACCACATCAAGGTCTTCCTCTACCAGATCCTCCGAGGTGAGCAGCTCGTGTCTTTACTCGGCCTGTAGCCCTGTCGGCTGTGTCACACAGACGACACACCTGCACAGTGAAGAAGAAGAACAACATCCCTTCTTCTAACTCCAAACTAAACCCACCTCCGTTCACTTGAGCATTTCAGCTTTGTATAAGAAATAATCTACAAAAAACCATGTCACATGACCAAGTACACTGGTCATGTGGTGCAAACAGGAAGTGGAGTTTCTACTCTGATCGGTTTCTTAGTTACAGAAAATACTACGAGGAACAGCGATGGTGGAAAGTAAGAGTGACGATGAGCCGGAACAGTCACTGACAGGAGCTCGAACGCGGAGGTGGATTTAGTTTTTAAACAAACGTATCAGTGTGGACGAAGCTTTCTGGGACGTGAGCGAGCAGGAGAGACGACAGAGATTTGACGGTTGTCGTTTGTTCAGGTTTGAAGTATCTGCACTCTGCTGGGATCCTGCACAGAGACATCAAACCTGGAAACCTGCTGGTCAACAGCAACTGTCTGCTCAAGGTGAACCTCAGATTTCTCTCTGCTTTTAAAAGTTTAAGTTTAATCTGCAAAAAACATCAAAATGAGAACGAAAGATTATTAAGTTTCATTTTACTTCCCAACTTAAAAACTGACCAATGTCCAAATGTTTTTCTTGAGGAGATAAAATAAAAAAAAAACTTCTTCTCGTTCATCGTGATAATATTTAAATCTATTAATGTCACTTTACCACCGGATGTTCTTGATGTGGTGGTGAAGCAGTGTGGGATGATGGGAGTTGTAGTCTGAGTATCATAATTCATTTTGTCTCTGGTTAGATTTGTGATTTCGGGTTAGCTCGTGTGGAGGAGCCTGACCCGTCGCGTCACATGACACAGGAGGTGGTGACTCAGTACTACCGAGCCCCCGAGGTGCTGATGGGCTGCCGACACTATGGCTCGGCCATCGACGTCTGGTCGGTGGGCTGCATCTTCGCAGAGCTGCTGGGACGACGTATCCTCTTCCAGGCTCAGAGCCCGATTCAGCAGGTGAGAGCAGGTTTAGGTTTTATTCAAACAGCTGATCTGTGGTCAGTTCCGTCTGACGTCCTCGCTTCTCTTCTCACCAGCTGGACCTGATCACCGACCTGCTGGGGACCCCCCCTCTGTCGGCCCTGGCGTCAGCCTGTGAAGGAGCCAGAGCTCACATCTTGAGGGGGCCGCACAAACCGGTACGTGACGATCCGCTCGCTCAAACAAACAAACCAGGTTCTGTTGTCAGACAAGTTTCATCTTCCGAGACGACGCGTCGACGTGTTGTTCTTATCCAAAAACATAAAACACATAACATCCTGTTCAAACAACAGATCTTTGACTTCAGTCTCTTTCACGCCTCACAGGAAAATACTTTGCTCAACACTGCAAAGAAAAATAAGAAAATATTTAAAGTGAAAAACAGAAGAGTTCCAGAATCACAACAGATTCTTAAAACATTGATAAAGCAGCTTCATTTTCCTCCTCAGCCGTCGCTGTCGGTGCTCTACATGCTGTCTGACGGAGCCACGCACGAGGCCGTGCACCTGCTCTGTCGCATGTTGGTCTTTGATCCGGTGAGTTCACACGACGCTGTGCGACTGGATCCAGTAAAAACACGGAGCGAACCCGCTGAAACAGTTTCTGGATCAGTTTTCGGTTCATCAGCTCAAACCTCTCGATTGTCTTCCTCTCCAGGCTAAAAGGATTTCCGGCAGCGACGCCCTCTCCCACCCGTACCTGGACGAAGGGCGTCTGCGTTACCACACCTGCATGTGTCAGTGCTGCTACTCGGTTCCCAGCGGACGAGTTTACACCCGAGACTTCGAGCCGGTCGCAGAGCGGCCGTTCAGCCACAGCTACGAGAACAGTCTGCTGTCGGTGTGGCAGGGAAAAGGTACGACTGACTTGTTACTCCTGCTGTTGTCGTCATCATTATAAGGCTGTTTCCATGGCAACACAGTGACCAGACCGTGAGAAATCAAGTCGGGGTCGTGTGATGAACAAGTCTGTTCAGATGATTCATGTGAATTCACATCTGTATGTCGTCTCTGGTCAGAGGACGTCGTTTAACAGAATCAAATCTTCATCAGTTTGAAACAGATCTTATCCAAACACGTTATTCATCCTGGTTCTCATGTCGGGAACAAAGCTCCTGAAAATTCACTTTTAAAAACGTGGGTGACACGTTTTGATACTTGATATGTTTTTTGCCAAAGTCTCGGGTTCACAGAAGAAGTGAAGTGTCACCGTAAACTTAAAGATAAATATGAAATAACTTTCAAAATCAAATTAGGTGAAGAACGGTGAATAATGACGTCATCCTACAAACAGAAACCAGCTCGTCTGAGACAATCACAGGATTTTTTAAAAGCAGCGGAAGGACGACAGATCTTCATCATCTGTGTGTGACGCTCTTCTTCTTCTTCTTCTTCTTCT